AGAAGGCAAGTTCTCAAACAAAGGCACCCAACTAAAATGATGAAGCCTCCAGAAGAATCAACACATCTACTCCTTTTCCCTCAAGTACCTTTCGGCAAAAGGAGTGAGGGACTCCTGATGGAGTATATGGCCCAGGAACCCCCGGCCCGTAGACTCCTACTTCTCCTACACAAGTCCATTGAGCTCGGGGAACAACTCAGGCCCAAATACAACGGCCCAAGCCTCAAAGTAGCCCAGGATACACACTGGGGTGCCTTCGGCCTCCTTGGCCGAAGGCTCCAGAAACTCACAAAGTAGCCCTCTCTGACATACGAAGCTACTGGGAGAAAACGGCGAAAAACATGAGCCTTCGGCATTACCAAGCCCTCGGCATTAGCGAAGCCTTCGGCTGAACTGAGCCCTCTGTCACTCGGGCCTTCGGCTACACAGGGGTCCTTGGCTACATGGAGCCCTCGGCCACACAAGGAGCCTTCGGCCAAACACTCTCAATCATCGAAGATTCCTTTTAGAGACAGCCAACCACCACATTTAATGCCACGTCGCATCCGCCAACCGCATTCAATGCGGTGAACGTACCACTGCCGGTGCCACCCGGTTGATGTGACCTTTCGGCCGTTGGATTGCTGACACGTGTACTCCCATCGCATTTATTGCTGCTATAAATAGCAGCCCATTTCCCCTTGTAATACACATCATCTACACCTCAACTCCACACGCTGAGTTCATTTAATAAATCGACTCTCTCTCCTCCTATTTTGCTCTGACTTCTCTCTAGTTATTCCTGCAATAACCCCTCGGATAAGATACCCCCCGGGTAGACTATCCACCAGTCCTATTCTAATGAACAATATAATGGACCTATAGTGTGAAGAGTATCTTGAGATTTAGTCTCGTTCTAAACAGATGCACATACTTCGGATTATGGAACTTGTGAATTTTGTTGCCTCATTGTGCATTGAAGGTCGGAAGAGGTCGGTTTCTTGTTTTTCGAGTAAAAAATCTTTCATGCTATAGGGGTTTTGAAAGTGGAAGGGAAAATCCTAATGTGACTGTGACCTGTCAATTTGAATCCGGAAGGGAAAGCAGCATAGATGAACTACAAATGAATAGCACAAATCCGAATAATGCGTATTTGTCTATATCTGTTCTAATTGGAATTGTCAATTTTACATCTTGGGAACTTTCAGATCAATATGAGAAGGGTCTCGACAATTTCAGTTATGGATGACCATTTCAATCACATACAATTTCATTTACTACAGATTGATAGGGAGATTGAGAAACTAACTGATAACTGGGACTAACATCGGGATTTTCCTAAACTTTGGAAGGAGACGACTATGGTTGAGGTTTACAAGGTGATGGATAGTCTACCCGGGGGGTATCTTATCCGAGGGGTTATTGCGGGAATAACTAGAGAGAAGTCAGAGTAAAAAGGAGGAGAGAGAGTCGATTTTATTAAATGAACTCAGCGTGTGAGAGTTGGGATGTGGATTTGGATCGTTTACAAAGAGAAATGGGTTGCTATTTATAGCAGCAATAAATGCGATGAGAGTACACGTGTCAGTAATCCAACGGCCGAGGGGTCACATCAGCCGGGTGGCACCGGCAGTGGTACGTTCACCGCATTGAATGCGGTTGGCGGATGTGACGTGGCATTAAATGCGGTGGTTGGCTGTCTCCAAAAGGAATCTTCGATGATTGAGCATGTTTGGCCGAAGGCTCCTTGTGTAGCCGAGGGCTCCCTGTGACCAAGGACCCCTGTGTAGCCGAAGGCCTTGTGTGACCGAAGGCTTGGTTCAGCCGAAGGCTCATGTTTTTCGTCGTTTTCTCCCAGTAGCTTCTTATGCCAGAGAAGGCTATCCTGTGAGTTTTGGAGCCTTCGGCCAAGGAGGCCGAAGGCACCCCAGTGTGTATTCTGGGCTACTTTGAGGCTTGGGCCGTTGCATTTGGGCCTGAGTTGTTCTCTGGGCTCAATGGACTTGTGTAGGAGAAATAGGAGTCTATGGGCCGGGGGTTCCTGGGCCATATACTCCATCACAAGGTTTATGAATAAAAAGAGATTCTACATGTTCTTCGGGAGTGTTTGAAGCTTCTTCTGCTTAAAAAAAGCACTTTTGAAGTGGTTTTGGAAAAAGTGAATGTAGCAAAAGTTGATAGTGTTTGAGAAAAAAATTGTTTTGAAAAGTAAAAGTTGGTAGTGTTTGGTAAAATAAGTGTTTTTGTGTAATAGAAAAAGTAAAAGCACTTTTCACACGAAAGCCGAGAAAAGTAAAAGTTGATAGTGTTTGATAAAATAAGCGCTTTTCTAAGGCAAAACACTCCTTCCCATGAATTCCTTCTCTTGTAGAATTTTTTTGCTAAAATAGTAGAGGAAGGTATTAATGATTAATGATGTACGGGGTTGAACCAAGGAAGGAGCCTGGTATTAAAGCCAAAAGATTTGTTTGAGCACTAGATTGATTCTGGTTTCATTTCTTATTGTGAGAATTCATTAAGAAAATTCGTGAATCTGAATTACGAAACTGGGCTCTTTGGGTTGCCATGGTTTGGAGAAGCTGATTTTTTTCTACTGTTTACTTTCATTAGCCTTTACTTCTTTTATTCTCCTTTCAATTGCGTTTGTACTTTGTACTAATAAACTTTGTAAGAGTTTTTCTTCTCTTAACCCACCAAGTCCGGTGGTTTTATGGGGGGAATATAATATTAATATTTTTGAGTATCCAAATTTTATTTTTGGCTCAAGTTCGAGCATTTTGTTCATGCTCAAACCTAAGAAATTTAATTAGCAAAATTTGAGCCGAGCACGAGCCGAACTCGAGCTTGGTTTGAGCTTTGAGCGACAATTATTAGGCTCTTTCGAACTCGAGTAAGTGTATTCCTATCAAGTTCAAACATGACCAAGTTTCAGTTCGGCTCCGCTCATTTGCACCCTATAATTAACAAAGGTGGTCTAAACCATTAGATCACACTCTATCTCAACCGTCTCAAACCTGTGCTCTAAATATTATATTAGTAAAATACTACAATACAATGTGTTGGGGGATACAAGTAGAACAATTACTTTAAGCTATTTAGAACAATTACTTTAAGCTATATTAGTAAATTACTTTTCTCTAGCATATATCATGTGCACACCGATAATGCAATCATGATATTTCACATTATTCTATTCGGGAATTCTATTTCAATGTTATTGCAAAGGGAATTCATGTTGTTCACACAATGTTACACAAACATGATCATTTTTCTCTAGCATATATCATGTTTTCTAATATTCAATTTTTTGGTATATTTGAAAATTTAATTTTGAATGTACATTCTAATACTTTCATTTTTGCAACACTGTTTCATTTTGAATGTTATCGCTCCTACAAGCATAAACATATTTTCCCATGATACACTACGTTTGTTTCCAATGATACAATATTATGTCTATTTCTTCCCATTTTAATAAATTACACACCGATAATGCAATCATGATATTTCACATTATTCTATTCGGGAATTCTATTTCAATGTTATTGCAAAGGGAATTCATGTTGTTCACACAATGTTACACAGACATGATCATTTTTCTCTAGCATATATCATGTGCACACCCATTCACATATTGGACATGATCCCTATTGCAAAAACACATTGGGCACAATCTCCATCGCGCAACGCGCGTTACAACAACTAGTACAATAACAAAGATAAGTTAATGAACACATGGAAAGCAATACACATGTAGTACAATAAGTCAATAACTCAATAACAAGGATAAGTTAATGAAACAAATCAGAAAAATCACTGGCTGAGAATGCTTGTTATCATTCACAAGGAATACACGGGCAACTGCTACAATTTCAGTTACAACTTACATGTTATGAACTGAAAGAGCTATACCAACCCTAAACCATACATTCAATAATGTGTGGAAGCTTCATCATAGCCAATGAAAAGTAATATAAATGATAGAGTCAAGGATTAATGGGATTATGAGATACTTACGCAAAACCTGAAAATCAGATCAAGGGACAAGGGTCCAGGGACAGTTGGCTGCATGTGCATGCTTTCCAGAATGATAGAATTATACTCATTCAAATGTAACAAGCACATAATACATTATACATAGGTATAGGGATTCACATGTTCAACAAAAATATACCAGTGAAAGTGAGCTAAATTAGTACACAGTTCATGCAATATATTCAATAATTGAAGTATTAAACATGTATACTGTATATTACATATACTTAATTGGTTCCAACATTTCCAATATATTCAAGTAATGGGCATATGGGAGTATCAGAGAATGGGAGTAAATGAGTAATGAGCTTATGGGACAGTATAGGATGCAGAAGGACCAGCGGATCCAGCACCAAGTCACCAACACTTACAATTAAAAACATGTAGGTGACACAGTTAAAAGTTACAAATGTTACAAGGACAATTTATGAAATTAATGAAACAAACCAGACATTTCATAAAGCTTAGAATGCTTATTATCATTCACAAGGGAAATAGGGGGCATCTGCTACAATTTCAGCTACAACTTACCATTTATGAACTGAAAGAGCAATACCAACCCTAAACCCTATGAATTGTAATGAGTGTAAGCTTCATCATAGCCAATGCCAAATCATAGAGCCATGTACTCATGTTCATACACATCGAAATGGAAAAACAAGCACATAATGGCAGAAATGTACAATAAAAATATAGAAAATGTACAGTTATTGACACAATAGAGGATCCAGTAGGAGCAGAAGCTCCACCACCAACATTTCCATCCATGATTTTTATAACAAACAAACATATTGTTAGAATTTAGATGTTTAAACAATAAGCTTTAGAATAAGAAAATAAAACATGAAAAACACATAAAACTTATACTTTTTTCCAGCCTCTCTACATCATCTGTCACGCCCCAGACCGCAATCCAAGCGCGTGTACAACCGCCGTATAATTAAGTGACGTCACCCGCGAGTCAACCTCACTTAATTACACAAGGCGTTTGAGAAAAACAATCCATCCATACTCAGTAGTAAACATACATAACAACATCACATTTAAACCAATGAATAGCGGAAATATTCAACGGTAAGTCATAAGCCACAACCGGCCAATAACATGAGCATGCAAGCCCAAAAATGGTTTATAACAAATAAAAATATCCATGAGCAATGTTTGGTACTTTGAAATAAAATGAGGAAGCACGAACCACGTCTTCCTTGATTTGATGTCACCCGTAGAAAGGTGCAGGTAGCAAGCCCTAGCTTCAACCTGAAAATGGTGGGGCCCCCCGAAGGGGTCAGTACAAGTACCGAGCGAGTAGCAGGCTAAATATAGAATAACTAGCGTTTCAAGTATAAGACCCAAACATAGGGTGATACATATACGTATAGTCCTTTCCCCAAGTTTGAAATACATATTTGTATACATACACTTGGAAGTACCCGACCCGTAGGTCATTGTTTATTTGGGAAAATAATAGTAGCCAATATCCTTGACTTAAATCCCAACCCACCCATATACCTATGAGTGTATAGAACTCCTCCTTGTTCAAATAGTTTATCATAAGGACACTGCCCGGTCCTAGATCATTAAATGTAATCTATGAGTTTTGAGGATACACGCCCGATCCTTGGGTACTCCACCCTATAATTGAGTTTTGAGGATAACCGCCCGATCCTTGGGTACTCCACCCTATATAACCGAGTTTTGAGGATAACCGCCCGATCCTTGGGTACTCCACCCTATATAACCGAGTTTTGAGGATAACCGCCCGATCCTTGGGTACTCCACCCTATATAACCGAGTTTTGAGGATAACCGCCCGATCCTTGGGTACTCCACCCGACCTATGACTTACCACTTATCACACTAGATAGGGTCTATATCATATTTAGTCATCCATAACTAATTCAATACATAAAAACTTATGTATCACATTCCATGCAAAGCCATGCATTTATATAAATGTATAATTAATTAATCCATTATCCGTCGGTCAACGTTGTTGTTGACCGCCATCTCAAGTCTTACACTTATTAACTAAATCATCATATAATTAAGTTAATAAAATCCATTTGTGCTTCTTTTACACTTAAAGCAAATATGCATTATATATAATCTCTCATATCATATTTCATGCATAAACAATTATTTCTTTTCATACGCACTTAACTATGTTGGCTAATCACATGTTTAAATATCTTTTAAACATCATTATGAACACATATAACATTTATTTAGGTAATCTCATAATTAACCCAAAAGTTATAAGATATTAAGCCGTCCACTCACCTTGAACTAGCGTTATGAAGTTCTACCCTTCTTGGTTGAACTCCGGTGAAACTCCGGCGACTTTTGGTCAACTCCGGCGACAACTCCGGCGACTTTTCCAACTTTGTGAAATCACTTGAAATACCCTTTACAAGTGCCTAACAAGGTTTTATAATCATAAAACCCATATTAATACAAATAACCTCAAAAAGGTTATTTTCCGGTGAACCGGTTATTTTGGCTCCTAAGTCCGTTCTTGGACATAGAACCACCTTTCAACCTATGAATCCATACTTATAACATATGGAACCATACTAAAGGTCCTTCACATGATATATACCTCATATGGTAGAAGAAAAATAAAGGAGAAGTCATAATAAGGTCATTACCTTAATTTTCACACTTTTTCCTAACTTTTTCCTTCTCAAACCTCCTTCTTTGGACCAAAACCCCTTGAGCTCGTGCTGCAACAATGGAGGTGGTCTTGGGAGCTTTTCCTCTTCCTTTCTTGATGCTTTGGTCGAGCTCAATGATAGGGGTGAGAGAGGGCACACCCTTTTTGTCTCAAATGACAATAAGAGAGGGTGAGGGGTCCTTCTTGGTACTATAGATGCCAAATGGTCCTCCTCCACATATTAGTTTGTCATTCCAGCCTACATGGGTCTTGTTGAGCACACAAAAACGTGGGGTGGCCCCCACTCATGTGGGAGGTCATCCCTTTGTGTCCCGATGTGTACAATCGGTCCCGAAAGTTGTATTTTTCGGACTGTTTTAAATATATTTTATTCTATCGGGTCCAATAAAATATATTACGTTTCCCCAATCGTAACGCCCCTTTGAAATAATATCTATTCCAAAACTTTAATTTAGAAGTCTCCGAAATTCATTTTCGGGCTCAAGTCTGTTAAATTGTCGGTACCGGTATTTGGGCCTCTTTTGCCCAATCGGCCAACGCAAGGCCTTTCCACGACCCAAGTAAAAATATCCACCACCATATAAATATTATCTTGACCAAGATGAATAAAATATGTGGTCTCGGGAAAGTTGGGTGGTCCCCGCTCCCGATGTGGGTCCCACATGCAATTACTATTCACGCGAAAGAAATAATAAAAATTTACAACTTCGTAAATTCATTAATCCTTTAATAAGGTTCGATACATTATTTACATAAAAGTAAATATATTTGGGGACGGTGTTACAAGTTCACCCCCCCTTATTTGGGATTTCGTCCCCGAAATCCAAGTAGTTAGTCGAAAAGAAATGGGTATTGCTCCCTCATTGAGACCTCGGTCTCCCAAGTTTCTTCTTCGACTCGATCACTCCTCCAAAGAACCTTTACCATAGGAATCTCCTTATTCCTAAGCTTCTTCACTTGTTGACCAACAATCTTCACTGGTTCCACCGCATATTGCAAGTCCTCACGGATCTCTACCGGTGGTTTCTCAAGAATATGAGATGGGTCTCGTATGTACTTCTTGAGCATTGATACATGAAACACGTCATGTATCTTCTCAAGTTCAGGCGTCAACTTGAGACGGTAAGCCACGGCCCCGATCCTTTCAAGGATCTCAAACGGACCTATGTATCGGGGGTTAAGCTTTCCCCTCGATACAAATCGAATGATGCCCTTCCAAGGAGAAATCCTTAGAAAAACCTTATCACCGACTTCGAATTCCAACGGTCTCCGCCGTTTATCAGCATAACTCTTCTGTCGGTCCTGAGCAGCCTTCAGTCTCTCTTGAATGGTCCTCACTTTAGCCTTGGTGATCTCGACCAGTTCTATTCCTTCGAGTTTGGCCTCGCCAACCTCGTCCCAACACAATGGTGTTCTGCATTTCCTCCCATACAATGCCTCATATGGAGGCATGCCGATACTTGCTTGATAACTGTTGTTATAAGCAAACTCCACTAGGGCCAAATGCTTGTCCCAACTCCCTTGGAACTCCAGCGCACATGCCCTAAGCATGTCTTCCAAAATCTGTATCACCCGTTCAGACTGTCCATCCGTCTGCGGGTGAAAAGCTGTGCTAAACTTCAGTTTAGTACCCAACGATGCTTGAAACTTTGGCCAAAATCGGGATGTGAACCGTGGATCCCTATCCGAGACAATGGATATTGGGACTCCATGTAATCTCACAATCTCCTCCGTGTATAGCTTGGCTAATCTTTCAAGAGGATAAGTAATGTTGATAGGCAAAAAGTGTGCACTCTTGGTGAGCCTATCAACCACTACCCAAACTGCATCATAGTTGTTCACTGTTCGTGGTAGCCCCACCACGAAGTCCATGGTCACGTGCTCCCACTTCCACTCTGGGATGGTGAGTGGCTGCAAAAGCCCTGCCGGGTGCTGATGTTCTGCCTTAACTTGCTGGCAAGTAAGGCATCGACTCACATACTCTGCGATGTCTCTCTTCATACCTGACCACCAGTAACTTTCCTTCAAATCTCGGTACATCTTGGTACCTCCTGGATGCATAGCGTAAGCTGAAGAATGAGCCTCCTCAAGTATAGACCTCTGGAGTTCCTCATTCTTGGGTATGCATACACGATCCTTAAACAATAAGAGACCGTCATCACGTACTCGGAAGTTCTCAACGGGTCCTTCAAGGATTCTTTCACGAATCTCCTGACATTCCTCGTCAATGGCCTGACTTCGACTGATCTCACCCAATAGGGTGGGCCTAACCTCGAATCGAGCAATGAGAGCCCCGCACGTGGACACCTCAATGCGTGCCCTCAACGCCTGTAGACATGCGAGTAGCGTCCCCGAGTACTCTTTCTGCTCAGTGCATCGGCCACGACGTTGGCCTTTCCTGGATGGTAGTCGATGATCAAGTCATAGTCCTTGATCAACTCCATCCATTTCCTCTGTCTCATATTCAGCTCTTTCTGAGTGAATACATACTTCAAGCTCTTATGATCTGTAAAAATGTGACACGTCTCCCCGTAGAGATAGTGCCTTCAGATCTTCAGTGCAAACACTACCGCCCCCAATTCTAGGTCGTGGGTAGGGTAGTTCACCTCGTGTTTCCTCAATTGCCTAGAAGCGTAGGCAATCACTTTACCGTTTTGCATCAGAACACATCCAAGTCCTTGGATGCTAGCATCGCTGTATATATCATACCCTATCCCTTGTATGGGTAGGGCAAGGACGGGTGCTTCGGTAAGTCGTTTCTTCAGCTCAAGGAACCCCTTCTCACACTTGTCGTCCCATATGAACTTGGCCCCTTTCTTCGTGAGCTTCGTTAATGGAGACGCCAATACGGAGAATTTCTCAACAAATTTACGATAGTATCCCGCTAGGCCAAGGAAACTACGTATCTCCTTCACGTTCTTGGGTCTCTCCCAATCCATAATAGCTTTTATCTTGGCGTTATCCACCGCAACGCCCGAACCGGATATGACATGACCGAGGAAACCGATCTCCCCGAGCCAAAACTCGCATTTAGAGAACTTGGCAAAGAGTTGTTTTTCCCTTAGCCGGTCAAGTATAAGCCCCAAATGATGTTCGTGCTCTTCCTCGCTTTTGGAGTATATCAAGATGTCATCAATGAATACTATCACAAATTGATCTAAGTATTCACTAAACACACGGTTCATCAAGTCCATGAATGCCGCCGGTGCGTTGGTTAAACCAAATGACATCACAAGGAACTCGTAGTGACCGTATCTAGTGCGGAACGCACTTTTAGGTATGTCACTCTCCTTGATCTTCAACTGATGGTACCCCGACCTCAAATCAATCTTCGAGAATACTATTGCCCCTCGAAGTTGATCGAACAAGTCATCAATCCTCGGTAAGGGATACTTGTTCTTGATGGTGACCTTGTTCAACTGCCGGTAGTCGATACACATTCTTAGTGTACCATCTTTCTTCTTTACAAAGAGTACGGGTGCTCCCCACGGTGAATGACTGGGTCTGATGAACCCGTTGTCCAATAGTTCTTGTAGTTGGACCTTCAACTCTTGAAGCTCGGCCGGTGCCATTCGATAAGGAGGAATCGAAATGGGTTTGGTTCCCGGCTCCACTTCAATCACGAATTCGATCTCTCTATCGGGTGGAAGCCCCGGTAGGTCTTTGGGAAAGACATCCGGGTATTTGCACACGACTCGTACATCCTCGATGTCAACCTCTTTCTTCGTATCGTCCACCACGTAAGCAAGGTATGCGTGGCATCCCTTTCTCATCATCTTCCGTGCTCTCATCACGGATATGATGCAAGCATTTGATTTCCCCCGATCTCCTTCGAAACATAGCGTGTTTCCTTGATCATCCTCGAGCTCCAACACCTTGGTGTAGCAATCTACTCGAGCATGGTGCTTCTCAAGCCAATCCATTCCTAGGATTGCATCGAACTCCAACATGCTTAGAGGTACGAAATCACAAGTCAAGGGTTGACCCGTCACTTCCACCTCACATGATGGATAGTAATGATTTCTCTCCACATCGTCTCCTAATGGTGTGGAGACTAGCAACGTTTGCATCATAAGTGTCAATGGCACGTCAAGGCCCTCGGCGAACGCCTCACTCACAAATGAGCGTTGTGCCCCGGTATCGATGAGGATCCTCGCACACCTACCATTGATCTTTAGTGTTCCTGCAACGGAGTCCGGGTTTGCTCGCGCATCCGCCTCGGTCATCGCGTAGACTCGTGCTTGGGTCCCACCTTGGTTGACGGATGCGGCATGGCTTGTGGATGCACCGCCTCTTCCCGTACCGCCGTTTGACGGTCCCGCACGGTTTCTTCCCGTCATGGTCCCTCCCCCGGCTCCCGAGGCACTCTCTTGCATCAATTGAGGGCAATTGGCCTTCATATGGCCCGCATTCCCGCACTTAAAACACCTCGGTGGTTCATTGCACCTCCCAAAGCGTTGTTTTGAGCAATTAGGACATCTAGGTGGCCCCGAGTTCTGTGGCCTAGGTCCGTGCCACCTCGCATCCCTATTCTTCTTTGCCGGTGGAGCCGGCGCCTTGAATGAACCACCGCCACCACCACCACCCCCGTGGTTGTTCCTTCGAGAATGATCGGGTGGCCCCGAATTATTCCACTTCCTTTTCTTCACCTCTTCGGCGTCCCTTGCTTTCCTCTCATTCCACTGGGCCTCTCCAAGCATGCCCTGCTCTACCACCTCACTAAAGGTCATGAGGCGGGAATACGTGGCACGATCTCGGATGTCCAAGAGTAAGGCATCCCAGAAGTGCTCAGTCATGCGGTCCTCATCGATCGCATACTCCGGCAAGAACCTAGCCAAGGTCCTAAACTCTTGCTCCAGTTGCTTAACCGTGCAACCCTCTTTCTGCTTGAGGTTGGTATACTCCCTCCTTTTCACATTAACCTCGAAATCGGAGTAGTATTGAGCATAAAATTCTTGCTCAAAATTTTCCCATGAGATGTCCCCACGGTATTTCCCTTCTACACCTTCCCACCATGTAGAAGCCATCCCCTCAAGTAGCCGTGAAGCGACAGTTAGCTTCACGTCCGGAGTAATCTGCATGCCCCTCGATGCATCCTTCACCTTCTTGATCCAATCGGCGGCAGCGGTAATGTCGCCGGTGCCGTCGAAGGACCTACACCCCAAGGCCCTAGCCTCCTTGAGGTACTTGGAGATTCTTACCACAAAACCTCCTTCATGCCCACCTTGTGGCGCCGCTGGGGTGGCCACGGAAGCTCCCCGGCTTCCTTGACCCGAACCACCACGAGAGCCACGCCTCGCTTGGCGCCTAAGGTCTCTCCTCAGTTTCTCCTTTTGATACCACTCAAGTAATTCACCCATTTGGGCGAAGCGGGCATCACTTTCATCATTGTCCTCATCGGTGTATGTGTCCCCCCCATCATACGGGGTCTCCTCATGCTCCGTTTCTGGAACGTAGGTTGAGTCATAGTCCTCGGTGTTGGTTTCATACACCGAGCTTACATGGCCATCACTCACAGTTTGAGCTTGATGACCTCCACGGCTTCCACGACCTCCACGGCCTCCTCTTGAACCCCGAGATGCAGCCCGGCTTCCCCTTTGGGACGCTACCGGCGCCCACCCTCTCGGATTGTTCCTGGTTGCCACCCGTCTGCCCTCCATTTCTGAAAGAAATATGGATGAGTCATTAGACTCCGATAAATGTCAATTGACGGAAGAACGCCATAGACACGTATTGGCCCAAGCCACCACCATACCAATTGTTAAGGGTACCGTCTTAACAATTAGAGGCCTTGCAACTTAAGCACCAATAGTCCTATAAACGTCAAAATACAATGCTCATGGTTTTCGGTAAAAACTCTTTTGTAAAATCTGTTGTGAGAGGTTGATTATATAGTTTAGAACTGAGATGGCTCTGATACCACTTAATTGTCACGCCCCAGACCGCAATCCAAGCGCGTGTACAACCGCCGTATAATTAAGTGACGTCACCCGCGAGTCAACCTCACTTAATTACACAAGGCGTTTGAGAAAAACAATCCATCCATACTCAGTAGTAAACATACATAACAACATCACATTTAAACCAATGAATAGCGGAAATATTCAACGGTAAGTCATAAGCCACAACCGGCCAATAACATGAGCATGCAAGCCCAAAAATGGTTTATAACAAATAAAAATATCCATGAGCAATGTTTGGTACTTTGAAATAAAATGAGGAAGCACGAACCACGTCTTCCTTGATTTGATGTCACCCGTAGAAAGGTGCAGGTAGCAAGCCCTAGCTTCAACCTGAAAATGGTGGGCCCCCCCGAAGGGGTCAGTACAAGTACCGAGCGAGTAGCAGGCTAAATATAGAATAACTAGCGTTTCAAGTATAAGACCCAAACATAGGGTGATACATATACGTATAGTCCTTTCCCCAAGTTTGAAATACATATTTGTATACATACACTTGGAAGTACCCGACCCGTAGGTCATTGTTTATTTGGGAAAATAATAGTAGCCAATATCCTTGACTTAAATCCCAACCCACCCATATACCTATGAGTGTATAGAACTCCTCCTTGTTCAAATAGTTTATCATAAGGACACTGCCCGGTCCTAGATCATTAAATGTAATCTATGAGTTTTGAGGATACACGCCCGATCCTTGGGTACTCCACCCTATAATTGAGTTTTGAGGATAACCGCCCGATCCTTGGGTACTCCACCCTATATAACCGAGTTTTGAGGATAACCGCCCGATCCTTGGGTACTCCACCCTATATAACCGAGTTTTGAGGATAACCGCCCGATCCTTGGGTACTCCACCCTATATAACCGAGTTTTGAGGATAACCGCCCGATCCTTGGGTACTCCACCCGACCTATGACTTACCACTTATCACACTAGATAGGGTCTATATCATATTTAGTCATCCATAACTAATTCAATACATAAAAACTTATGTATCACATTCCATGCAAAGCCATGCATTTATATAAATGTATAATTAATTAATACCAATCGATATTAATTAATCCATTATCCGTCGGTCAACGTTGTTGTTGACCGCCATCTCAAGTCTTACACTTATTAACTAAATCATCATATAATTAAGTTAATAAAATCCATTTGTGCTTCTTTTACACTTAAAGCAAATATGCATTATATATAATCTCTCATATCATATTTCATGCATAAACAATTATTTCTTTTCATACGCACTTAACTATGTTGGCTAATCACATGTTTAAATATCTTTTAAACATCATTATGTACACATATAACATTTATTTAGGTAATCTCATAATTAACCCAAAAGTTATAAGATATTAAGCCGTCCACTCACCTTGAACTAGCGTTATGAAGTTCTACCCTTCTTGGTTGAACTCCGGTGAAACTCCGGCGACTTTTGGTCAACTCCGGCGACAACTCCGGCGACTTTTCCAACTTTGTGAAATCACTTGAAATACCCTTTACAAGTGCCTAACAAGGTTTTATAATCATAAAACCCATATTAATACAAATAACCTCAAAAAAGTTATTTTCCGGTGAACCGGTTATTTTGGCTCCTAAGTCCGTTCTTGGACATAGAACCACCTTTCAACCTATGAATCCATACTTATAACATATGGAACCATACTAAAGGTCCTTCACATGATATATACCTCATATGGTAGAAGAAAAATAAAGGAGAAGTCATAATAAGGTCATTACCTTAATTTTCACACTTTTTCCTAACTTTTTCCTTCTCAAACCTCCTTCTTTGGACCAAAACCCCTTGAGCTCGTGCTGCAACAATGGAGGTGGTCTTGGGAGCTTTTCCTCTTCCTTTCTTGATGCTTTGGTCGAGCTCAATGATAGGGGTGAGAGAGGGCACACCCTTTTTGTCTCAAATGACAATAAGAGAGGGTGAGGGGTCCTTCTTGGTACTATAGATGCCAAATGGTCCTCCTCCACATATTAGTTTGTCATTCCAGCCTAAATGGGTCTTGTTGAGCACACAAAAACGTGGGGTGGCCCCCACTCATGTGGGAGGTCATCCCTTTGTGTCCCGATGTGTACAATCGGTCCCGAAAGTTGTATTTTTCGGACTGTTTTAAATATATTTTATTCTATCGGGTCCAATAAAATATATTACGTTTCCCCAATCGTAACGCCCCTTTGAAATAATATCTATTCCAAAACTTTAATTTAGAAGTCTCCGAAATTCATTTTCGGGCTCAAGTCTGTTAAATTGTCGGTACCCGGTATTTGGGCCTCTTTTGCCCAATCGGCCAACGCAAGGCCTTTCCACGACCCAAGTAAAAATATCCACCACCATATAAATATTATCTTGACCAAGATGAATAAAATATGTGGTCTCGGGAAAGTTGGGTGGTCCCCGCTCCCGATGTGGGTCCCACATGCAATTACTATTCACGCGAAAGAAATAATAAAAATTTACAACTTCGTAAATTCATTAATCCTTTAATAAGGTTCGATACATTATTTACATAAAAGTAAATATATTTGGGGACGGTGTTACATCATCAATGTTTTCTTCAACTGAGATAGGCTGGTGAGCCTTTCTCAACCAATCTTGTGTACAAATAAGGGCTTCCACAATTTTACAACTTAATGAACTCCTAAAACAGTCCAAAACCCTACCACTTGTACTGAAAGTGGACTCAGAAGCAACTGTGGAAATGGGAACACCAAGTACATCCCTAGCCATTTTAGAAAGTATATGAAACCTTTCACTATTTAACTTCCACCATCTTATAATATCAAAGTCTTGATCTTCCTCAATAATGGACTCAGCTAAATAAATTTCAAGTTCAGAATTTTTAACTCCTAACTGACCACTCTTAAGCTTCTTTTTTAGACCAGCCTTAAACCTGGACATAGGCCTATTTTCAGAATTACCACAATCCATAGATGCTCCAGAACTAAAAGTTGAATTATGACTTCCACCAACACAGTCAGCGTAACTTGAAACATAATCAACAAATAACTCAGTTAGACCAGACTTCACTTTCAGAAAGAATTCAGAACCATTTTTGTCACCATATAAAGCATTTAGCTGAAATGACATATACTCAAACTTGTCCCTAGGATCTAACACATTAGCAAAGAAGATGAGAAAGTTCATCTTTTCAGGACCTTAGAACTTATCTAATTTGGATTTCATAGTAGTCCCAATTGCACTGACAAAAGCAGTTGGAGAGGCAACCATATCTTTTAGGGAAAGGAACAAGTCAGAGATTTCAGGAAAAAAGGTATTGGAAGTAACATAGAGTGAGCCTGAAATTCTAAGTGTCATTTCATAAAAACTTCGGAGAATGGTCACAAAAGATTCAACTGCAATCCAGTCTAAAACATCAGGAGTCTCATTACCCAAATCAGTATTAAATGCAGTTTCATTCTCCTCATAGGCTTCAAAGTCTTTCTCATTACAAATTGCAGATTTAAGCATCGGGTAAGTGGAATTCCACCTAGTTGGAACATCCAGGTGCAGACCACACTTGGCTTCCACTCCTATCAAATCAGATAAATCTTTGAACTTTTGAAGCATAGCAAGTGAGATCCTAACATACTTAACAACTTCCCTCACTCTCATGACAGAAGTGTTTGCATCTTTAAGACCATCTCGTACTGCTAAGTTCAAGATGTGTGCAATGCAACACATATGAACATACTTTACTTTGACAGAAGAAGCACCCCGGGATATTATTATTTTCTTAAAAAAAACCAACATTTGTATCATTACTACTAGCATTATCAACAGTCACAGTAAAAATACTTTTCAGACCCCAATCAAGTAAGCAATTATCTAGGGCTTTAACAAGGTACTCCCCTTTGTGAGAGGTGACAGGGACAAATGAACTTTTTTTTCTGGAGCTTCCACTGATCATCTATGAAGTGAGCAGTAATGCACATGTAATTTATCCTCTGAATAGATGTCCATGTATCAGTAGTTATACTAACTCTCTGAGTGTGTTCCCTAAAATGCCTTTTTAGATTCATTTTTTCATCAAGGTATATTTGATAAATGTCTCTAGCAATTGTCCATCTAGAAGGAATTTGAAACCTAAGACAGACTGCAACAATAGAATTCCTGAAACCATGTTTGTCTACAAAGTTAAAAGAAAGCTCATCAATGATTAGCATTACACCCAGAGCTCTCCTAATAGCTTCTTGATCAAACACCCAAGGTCCTAAGAGCCCAATATTTGTAGAGAGTTGACCTATCTGTGGAGGGACAGGCTGGAAGGTTAATAGGGCTTGTCTAGTGTCCTTGGCATGAGGGTTTTTCAGGCAACTAAAAATGTGATTTCTGATGGAGGAAGTTCCACGTTTCTGAGAGTGGCAACAGTATATTCTTGCACAGTATATGCACTTCCCCTTAATAACCACACCATTTTCATGTTTAATTTGGACAAAGTGATCCCAAATCTTAGATCTTGGTTCTACCACTTTTCTCTTTTTGTCCATAAACAGCAGGTGGTGCGGCCTGATCATTGCCATTGGTAATGTTAGGCTCAGGAGTTTGACCTTCCACCACTGTTTCTTGACTCAGAATGAGGTTGAGATCTAGATATAGAAAAGGTCACACTTTCTTTAGGGTCCATCTAATGAATCCAAAAATGCAAGCATGACCAAACAGTAACACATGCTAATTTAATACTTAGCTTCCACATAGTTCATATCTCACAGATACTAATCATAACCTGTGTATTACATAAGGATAAAAGCACTTTGCTTTTTCACTTCTCTACAGGCTCTGAAGAAACCAGTTCACTCTTTGTACTCGTTTGAGTACTAGAGTACAAAAAAGGCTTCTTCACCAAAATAAGAATGCAGTTAATCAGTTATGCACAACATATAACATTACAAGTAAGCAACACATGATATATTGATACTTGATAGGTGTATACTAAGCTTCCACAGTCAACACTCAACATGGGTTGATAGTCTTCATACAGTCATACTAATTATAAGCTTCCACATAGTTCATACCTCACAGATAATAATCATAACATGTGTATGGAACAATCAGCAACACATGATATATTGATAGGTGTATACTAAGCTTCCACATTTCAAACTATACAGATTTGAACTAATATAGGTGTATACAAACACATCACAAACTATACAGATCTAGACTCATGTATAAAAAGTCAGAACCACATCTCCACAGTAGGCAACACATGAATATATAGCTTCCACAGTTCGTCATTCATATTTCAAATAAACAGGAACAAGTGGACAACTGGACACACGAAGATTTGAACAGATATGTACATGACTGAACTCAAAAATCAAGTGTGAATATCTCAACATGCAAATTTCGGAAATATATACGAACATCACAACTGACAACTCAGAACATGCATGCATCATCAACTCATCAAGGACTCAACAATCAACATGCCATTAAATGAACATGTTTAAATATTTTATACCTCAGGTCCTCAACGGCTCAAAGAACGAAGATTGGGAATCGGTCTCAAGTCTCAACTACTCACAGACTCACACAACCAACACGCTCGACTAGAAGGAGATGATTAGATGAAGGCTTCCACCAGGTTGAGGACTACATTCCTACAACGATGACAACGGTGGCCGAAGAAGTGAGAAGTCAGAGTGTAAGTTAGGGTTAGCCACTTAGAGACAGATAGAGAGTGTAAGTTAGGGCTAACCGGCGAAGGGAAAGAGGGATAGGGGAAATAGGGCTGACCGACTGGGGATTAATTTGGGAGTTTGGGTTATGGGTTATGAGCTTGTGGGTAGTGGGCTTAGCCTAGGTCGGGTTTTCGGGCGGGTCGGGTAGGCATTAGGAGAACCCTACCCGATATGAATCGGCCCATAGGAAACGGGCTGACGGGTCGGTTTTATGAGGCGGGTCGGGTCAACCGACCCATTTTTCCAAAATCAGTTATATTCGATCAGATTTTTCAGGTAGGGTTGGTTTTGCTCACCCCTATCTGGCACGTTGAATTTGAGATTTAATGACAATTAAAGCGCATAAAAAATTAAAAAGGTGGTGAGTGACACGATGATAGTTTCGTAATTAGCGAACTATCATTTAAGAGTCCTAATTATTTTCTAAAATAGAAATGATAACCTTTAACAATGGATGGGCAAAAGACCAGGTCCTTTTCCGAAATGACGTTGTGGTCCCGTTTTGGGACCGTCGTGTTGTAATTATGGCAAATTGTTTTTGTCACATACTAGTCTCAAACTGTTTCAAAGTAGAACGGAACCGGGACAGATAAAACGTGTTTCGTCCTGTTGTCTCGCTTCCAAATAATAACAGTAGTACTTTTATTTTGGCAGTCCAAATACCTATCGGTAACTACTAAATAGTAGCCTAGCTAATTGGTGCTGCCAATGAGTGCTAACCTTTAAGAACTATAAGCCTAAATGACTGTAATTTATTACCCCCTCCGTCTCGTTGAAAGGTTCTCACTTTCATTATTTGTGTGTCTCAGTTAAATGTTCTCGTTCCATTTTAGGAAATAATTTACTCTTTTTAATTATACTTTTACTCAAATTTATCTTTTTCACTCATTACATATCAAGTCTCACAATTTCTCTCACTCAACTTATCTCCCTTTAATTACTTTCACAATTTCCTCTCCCCCAATTTATATCCCCTTTTTATCGTATTTACTTAAAATCTTTTACGATGCATAAAAATTTACGGAGTATTATATTGGCAGGGTTTGGATGTTGTGCTAGGAAGTAGGAACCAGTGTGTTTGTTGTCCTGCATATTTTATTAATTTATTTACAGTTTTCTACTTTTCTTGTTTCTTGTAATTTTGTGTCATGTTGTTATTTTTTGTTGTTTTTCACATTGCTTTGATGTTTGAGAAATGCTAGAGGTACCCCATTTTGTACC